CCAGAATATAGTCTAATCACTTGTTGATTAACAGGAGAAAAGTCTTTTAAGTTACAACAACATTTTAATACTCCAGCAAAATCATTACAAAACCAGGGACGCTGGAACGGGGGTCGGGGCCATGGCCCTCCCACTTTTTGAAAGTGGATGGGCCTGCCGGTCCACTTTTTGCCACAGGCCCCAACCCTGCCCCTCCTCTTCCCCATGAGGCCCTGCCCCCCCCCCCCAGCTGGGCCAGCTGCTGGAGCCCATTCGGGGAGACCAGGGAGCTGAAGACTCTTCACCTGCCCTGGGCAGAGTCAGGAGGGCAGAGACATGGGCCGGGGGCTGTTCTCAGGTCCCCCCCACCCCGGGCAGGTAGTGGGGTCCAGGCTTCCCGGCCCCACTCTGGCTTCTGACTTGGCCGTGGGCAGGGCCTCGGGGAAGAGTGGTAGGAGTGGGAGCGGAGGGGCCCTGGTCCCCTTCTTTTGGGAAGGCTCCACCACCCCTGTTTAAAACTAATCCCCTGTTAACTTCCTCTCATCAGTCCATGTTGAAGTCTTTGGGAGGTTTTCATTGAGTTGGTTTCTTCTGGAGTCATGTGTGTGTGTGTCAGTTTGCTTGTGAAGTGCTATGTTTGAGCAGGGTAGTAGATGATGTGTGTGTGAGGTGCTCACTCAAGTGTTTTCAGACCCTTCTTCCTCTTTTCCTGAAATTCTAGGAAAGCATACCTCCTTCGGTTGCTTGCTGTCCCTCTTTTGTTGGCTTCATGCCTTCTGGTTTGGCTTAGGTGACATTTCTAGCTCCTGAGTATGCCATCTGTTTAATGAATATGCAACATTTCTTTAATTGCCTTTGTTCTTCTTATGGCAAGAAAGACCCAGATTACTTTTTAAATTAATTTTAACTTTCTTTTTATTCGGCCCATTTTTTGAGATAGAGTTTCAATTTTATTAGCATTTGAAAGAAAATAAAATTCTGTTTTCAAAAAGTCCAAACACTCCTGTCCTTTCTACAAAAGGATTTAGTTCTCAACGCAGTCTTTTTAAATTAAATACCTCTTACAAAGTCTTCAGCTTAAATAATTAGAGTTGTTTCTTTGGAAGGATGATTCTTGTCTTTTGGAGTTGGTTGAGGGTTAGCTTGTGCACTGCCAATAATTAATTACCCATCACTATAAATATACTACATGTAAATGGTTCTTACTCTAGATTAGCAAGGTCACTAGATTCCATGTTGGTACATAAAGCATTTTACCATTTACACAGCAATGACATTAAGAGCTTTGCATTTAGCTAACATATTTGCAGCTATGCATTTCACAAAGGTATCTGTCATTTCAACATTTAAGAAGTAAACAAAAGTTTAAAACATCTCCAACTAAACATGTTTTTCTCTACAACAGGAGTCGGCAACCTTTCAGAAGTGGTGTGCCGAGTCTTCATTTATTCACTCTAATTTAAGGTTTTGCGTGCCGGTAGTACATTTTAACATTTTTAGAAGGTCTCTTTCTATAAGTCTATATTATATAACTAAACTATTGTATGTAAAGTAAACAAGGTTTTCAAAATGTTTAAGAAGCATCATTTAAAATTAAATTAAAATGCTGATCTTACGCCACCAGCCTGCTCAGCTCGCTGCCAGCCTGGGGTTCTGTTCACCTAGGCCGGCAGAGGGCTGATCAGGGCCTGCGGCCGGGACCCCAGACCTGGGGGGGCGTGTTTCAGGGGTCAGGGCAGAGGGCTGGGGGAGGGGGTTCAGGGCAGAGGGCTGGGTGTGTGTTGGGGTGTGGGGGGTTCAGGGCAGAGGGCTGGGGTGTACAGGGCAGAAGGCTGAGTGTTTGGGAGGGTTCAGGGCAGAGGGATGGGGCTGTGGGGGTGCAGGGCAGAAGGCTGGGT